TCAGCCTTCCTGCTCCTCTGATGCTGCTTGGCCTGCTGTGTTCATCCAGCTCTACACCTTATTATCTCAGATTCTCCAGCATCTGCAGTTCCTACTATCTCTGAAATGATTTAAAGAGTAAGTTTATTAATTACTACAAACAAGAAGAAATATTAACTCAACACACATATTTCCAATCCATGTGTAAGAGGTGAGTCCAAAAAGATAAATTTTATAATCAACAGGTATACAGATCATGTCTAAATTGTTCATGAACAGTAGATAGTCGAACGTTGTAGCTATTACTGGTAGCATTGACATCGGTAGGTGAACAGTCAACTTCACAATCTTTAGCTTCATAGATTGGTTGAGATCCCTAATTGAATTCCAGCATTCAGGAAAGACAGAGAATCCTTTATTTCCCTGCCTATTATTTAATGATTTGCAGCACTCAAATTTAAGGAGATCGTCACCTGTGACACAGGGGTAAGTAGGGGGTATTTCTTCAAATGTGATCTTCACAACTTGAGTGTCCAGGGAAGCGCGGCTAGGTGGATTAGCCATGGAAAATGCAGGATTACAGGGATAGGATAGGGGGGCTGGGTCTGGGTGGGATGCTCGTCGGAGGGTCGGTGTGGACTCAATGGGCCAAATGGCCTGCTTCCACACTGTAGGGTTTCTATGATTCTTTGCAAATACTCAAACCCAGGGTGGTACACATAAGAACATTCAGTTCCATTCATTCCCTCCAGCAGAGTTGAAACTAACTTTTGAACTCTGATAGTTGTGTATTCCTGGAGGTTAAAACAAACATGTCTGCAAGATATGCCTTTCTGCCAAGATGAGAGAAGTAGGCAATCCCCTACACAAAAACAGAAGTTGCTGGAAAAGCTCAGCAGGTCTGGCAGTATATGTGAAGAATAAGAATCAGAGTTAACATTTCAGGACCTTTCCTCACTGGTCTCGAAACATTAACTCTGATGTTTTTCTTTACAGATGCTGCCAGACCTGCTCAGCTTTTCCAGCAATTTCTGTTTTTGTTCCTGATTTACAACATCTGCAGTTCTTTCAATTTTTATTCAGTCAATCCCCTACTTATCTTGTTGTTTCTACCTGTTTGAAGTTTCCCTGAAAATGTGTGCTTGCAACATTTTGAGTTCTTTGGTCCTGTACTTGGACACATACTGGGTTCTGAAAAGACTGACCTGGTTAATTTTTAAATCCCATCACAAAAATAGACCAGCACCCATATGCCACTAGTTTGAATATTCAAACTCTTAAAAAAAAATTAGCATAAATAAATCACATCTGTCATAACACCTCCCACCAAAGATGAATGAAAACGTATCATTAAGAAGCATTTCCATTTTCCATGTAAATACCATTTTTTCCCTTTTTGGACTGTGGAACTAAAACATGGGAAAATATTGTTTTCAACCAAGAAGGCTGTGGAAAAAGATGTCACGGTTTTAAAAAACAACATAGCTACTGGAACTCATTTTGAGTTGTATCTACAATGTTGCCTTATTCAAGTTTAGAAGTCAGACGACACCAGGTCATAGTCCAACAGGGTTTATTTAAAATCACAAACGTTTGGAGCATTGCCCCTTCAAGCAGTGGAGAAGAATGGTAGACACCTCAGCTGTGTGTGTGTGTGTGTGTGTGTGTGTGCGCGCATGCGCGCACGCATGCAAATACGCTTGTATTCTAGACAGTTCTGCCCACTGATAGACTTTTAATTGGTTTTTCAATCAGGATCAATTGTGTGTATGTGTTCAGGAATAATCAGCATAGTAACAACTTCTTGATTTGCTCCTGAGTGAGTGGCTACAGCTGTGTGCTTGCATAATACAAGTAGAACCATTCAGTTCCCTTTCTTCTGTGAGCAGAGAAATAAAACAAACATTCTGAGTAGCTAATTACTCTTTATTGCTCACCCTGTAAATTCCCTTTTTGAAAGGACCCTTCAGAGACCCAGAAAAGGTGAATCTTCAGCCAGCAAATGAAACAGTTGAGAATTGGTTTGTCGTCAAACTCGTGTCCTCATCAAAACACTGGAAGGAGCTGAAGGAAAACAATATACGGGGACGCTTCAATCCACACTAGTGCCAGGACTAAGCTTCACCGACTTCTTTGTTCCTTTTCCAATCATGATATTTATGTCTTGTCTTGTCTCTTTGTGTGTCTGTTGGTATATGTTTGGGAATATTTCAAAAGGGGTAAAGTTTAACTTATAGAGAGTTATACATTAGCTTTTCATATTTCTTTCTCACCATTTTTTAGAACTGTTTGATTGCAAAAAGTATTGATCTTCTTGTTCATGGTAAAAAGCTGTTGTGTGTAACCCTAATTGAACAGTTAGGTTAAATTGGGCAATGTGGTGGTTTAATCAAACTTTCACATCTGCGACAACTTCAAGAATGATGGGGCTTGACTTCCAATGCATTACCCCAGTGAATCATGTCACCTAGCAAAAATTATTTTCAACTCTATTTCTATATCACATTAACAGTAGTAATAATTTGATGTTAAACATACCATGTTTAAGTCCATTTTCATCACAGCAACCAGTTTCTTTCATATATCCTCTTGATAAAGTGTCTACTATAACATTCTCTTTTTCAGGGACATGAATGATTTTTAAGGTGTACAGCTGGAGGATTAAACTCCATTGAAACTACTGTGTGCTCTTATCCAAAAATTTGTCAAGAGGAAAGGATGCTGGTTAATAAAATAACAACCACTTTCACGTTATTGGTGATTATGTATTTCAAAATGATGTAGAGCCAACATATGACTCAAATCTCTTTCATTGTCAAATATTTCTGGTGACATGCATTCAGTTTCTTTGAAAAATACCTGACAGTCCATTGATATCCATCACATTATAAAATGGTATCCAAACCAATGTCACTGACCTCAACAGACAATGTGAGTGGCATTTTATAATTCACAGCTACCAAACTGTATTTGTCAGCACTGATAAAGTCCAACAGCAAAGGATAAAACTGGAGCCAATCTTTAAACGATTATGTAAAGATTTTATTTACTAAGGTACACATTGCAAACATGTACCTCCTAACTTAGGCACCACATTTTCTGTACGTTTCATTTTATAGCAGCACAATTGTTATATACGTAAATGATATAGATGAAAATGTGGGGGGAGCATTAAGCAAATTTGCAGGTGACACTAAGATTGGTAGAGTGGTTTGTAGTGAAGCAGATAGTTGTAAGTTACAGAAAGACATAGATAGGTTGATCAGATGGGCAGACCAGTGGTACTTTAGAAGAAGAAACAAGATGTGGGAGTATTTAATGAATGGCAGGACACTGGGTAGTTTAGAAGAGCAGAGGGATCCTGTGGTAATTATTCACAGATCCCTGAAGTCAGCAGAGCACATGAACAGGATAGTTAAGAAGGCATATGGGACATTTGCTTTCATCAGTCGTGGCTTAGAGTATAAGAACAAGGAGGTAACGTTGGAATTGTAAAGAGCTTTGGTCAGGCCACAGCTGGAATACTGTGTGCAGCTCTGGTCACCTCACTGCAGGAGGGATGCGATAGCACTGGAGGAAGTACAGAGAAGGTTCACCAGGATGTTGCCTGAGATGGAGAAATTGACTATAAGGAGAAACTAGATAGGGTTGGATTGTTTTCTTTAGAGTAGAGAAGGGGAGGACATAATTGAGGTGTGTAAGTGGTATAGACAGGGCGAATAGAGAGCAGCTATTCCCCTTGGTTGAAGGGCCAATCATGAAAGGGCATCAGTTTAGGATGAGGGGCAGGAGATTCAGAGGGGATTTGGGGAAAAAACTTTTTCACTCAGCGCATGGTGGGAATCTGAAATGGACTACTTAGGAAGGTGGTGGAGGCTGGAAATCTTACAACCTTTTAACAAATATTTGGATGAATACTTCAAATATCATAACATTCAAGTATATGGGACAAGTGCAGGAAATTGGGATTAGCGCGCCATTAATGGTAGTGCTGAAAACAACAAATGCTGGAGATTACCGCAGGTCAGACAGTATCCATGGAGAGAGAGCAAGCTAATGTCAAGTCTAGATGACTCTTCATCAGTGATAGAATGTCAGTGCAGACTCGATGGGCCAAAGGGCTTTTTCTATGCTGTATGAATCTATGTAACTGAATCCCTGATCCCCAACATCTTCATACAATTAATAGATGGGGCCTCAGTTTAACAGCTCATCAAAAAGACTAAAGCTCCAACAGTGCAGTACAGGTATTTCTGTCATAACGCCTGTTTCATTAATATGAATTGCCTGTAATGCGATTGATGAAAGTGGACATTGTTTGGATAACGCAAACTTTCTGCTGTACAGGTATAGTGATTTGCCAATAACACAATTTTCTATGGCAATTTTCTATTGCGCGAGGTTACACAAGAACGCAACTATCATGTTATGGGAAAAATATCTATATTCCCTCAAGAAGATTTTATGCTAAAGTCTCTGGATCTCTCAATCTCTCCATTACTGATGTTCTGTCTGTTTCCCTTATGCATGTTGACGAAAAACTTTGTACAGTTTCTAATGCTGTATGAATGCAAGGTCTTGGTGTTGTCACAGCATTGATTTCTAAGGATCACTGGTGCAGTACTTTAAAGTGTAACTGGAAAGTGCAGCAATGGAGCACATGCAAAGAGAGGTATTAGAATTGATAGCAGAAAAATCTTCATTGCCCAGAGGAAGCAGTGGTGTTGATAATGGCTCTGTAGCAAGGGCCTAACATTATTTGATTGATTTATTGTCATGTGTACTTAAGTACAGTGAAAAGCTTTGTTCATGAGCAGTACAGGCAGATCATAGTAAGCAAAGGATGTACAGATCAAAGGTTGTAAAAAGCTTAAACAGGGGCATAGAGGTTACATTGCACAGGGCATGCGCTAGGTGAGATCAGCATTAACAAGATCAGCATTATTTGAGGCTACAGAATCCATTCATCAGTCTGATAATGGCCAAGAAGGAGCTGTTCCCAAACCTGCTGGTGCATGCGTTAAGGCTTCTGTATCTTCTGCCTGACAGACAAGGTTGTAGGAGATCATTATGATAGGTCTTTGATGATGTTGACAGCCTTTCCGTGGCAACGAACTGCGTAAATGGAAGGTTGGCTTCAGTGATGGTCTGGGCTGTGCACACCACCTTCTGTAGTTTCTTATCATCCTGGGCAGAGCAGTTGCCGTACCAGGCCGTTATGCATCCGGAAGGTATGCTTTCAATGGTGCATCGGAGGGGTTGGTGAGGGTTCTTGTGGACATGCCAAATTTCCTGAGCTGCCTGAGGAAGAACAGGCATTGTTCTGCCTTCTTGACTATTGTATCTATGTGGGAGTCCAAGACAGGTTGTCAGTTATTGTCACTCCGAGGAACTTAATGGTCTCCACCCTCTCAACCTCAGTTCGATTGATGTAGATGGGGGCGTGTTCTCCTCCTTTCTTTCTGAGTTTTACCGAAGTTGTTCTCATTGCCCATGTCATCAAGCCCTCTATCTCACTTCTGTATTTTGACTTGTCATTGTTCCGCAATCACTGCCCAAATTCATCAGTTTTTTTCCAACACATCAAGATAGAGGCTGGAGTCTTCAACCTGAAGAGACAAAACCTTTAAGTTTGTATAATGGGCACTCATCCAGTTTTAGCAAGGCTGGGAGAGTTGGCAAAGAGTCAGACACTTTGTTTTGTTTCTGAGGCAAGACAAATTAAAATTTCTGCAATCAAATAAAATCTGCTGTGTTAATTTTCCATCACTGCCTGCTCTTTGGCGTTAATAAATTTTAGAGGTGGCTTCTAACTCAAGTCACAGTTTTTGATCATGTTTATTCTCCTGTTTTTCTAGACTAACAGAACACAACAAAGCTCATATTGATTTGGAAACCTAATTCCAATAATAAGTTTCAGATCAATAATTTCTCCATCCCACAGAGGACGCTATGATTTTGCAACACATTACCAGAAGTCTAGCTACAGAACACACTAGCACACAAATGCAGACAAGGTCAAGACTAAGTCCACAATATTACAGCACCATGTGGTTTCCAAGTTCAGTCAGAATGAGGGAGGAGAGCAAAAGATCGAGAGTGAGGCAATTGGAGCTTAAAAAAGTTGAAATGTGCAATCCGGAGGGGACTTTGCCTCCTCAAGGACCGTGCTGTGGTCATTCCTACTGATACTCTCATGGACTGATGCATCTGCAACAAGCAGATTGGCGAGGAGGATAGGGATGATAGGCGGGCCACCTGCCACAGACCTAGTCTAGTAGTTATGACCTTAAGGATTCGGTCAGCAATGGTGCTGTCAGGCCACTCTTGTTAATGGACATTGAACTCCCCCGTCTAGAATGCATTCTGTGCCTTTGCCACCCACAGCACTTCTTCCGAGTGTTGTTCAACTCAGAGGAGCACTGATTCATTGCACAGAGCATCAGACTACTGATTTTATGTGCTCTTTTTATTTCAATTCTGAGCATCACCATGTGGGATACACAAATTTATACAAAAGAGCTACTGCCAACTTTCTAGTTTCCCAACAACTGTTATAAGCATAAAGTCAGAAAAACCTTTCAAGTAACACTCGCCAAAATATTCAATTGGCAACATTGTCTAACACTGGTCAACAAACTCTTCTGCAAGTCAAACATCTTGCAGAATCCAGCAACAAATTATTTCATACCCTGGGATAAATTACAAGCACGCTGTTTTCCATTACGTCCGCACGTAACCTCATTAAAACATGTTTCTTGGGTATCAGCCGTTGCTCAGTGGATTTCAAATCCAAGTTATAACGTTCTGGGTTCAAGTCTCACTCTCAAGACTTAAGTACAATAATCTAGGCTGATAATTCAGTGCTGCACAGTCAGCTTTGTCATATTCCAGGTGAGCTTTTCTCTGGCCATTCTGTGTTGCCCAAAGCAAGCCACAAGCTCTGGCCCCATATTACTTGCAGTTAGGTACACTAACTGGTTGATATTTCCCACTGAAGAAGAGGAACACTGAAAAGTTATAGTACAGAAAAGGCCATTTACCCCCCATCATGTCTATACTGGTTGAACAAACTAGCAGCCCATTCTAATCCCACTTACTAGCACTTCAGAGTCAGATCCAGATCCATTTTATATGAGGTGAGGGTTTCTGCCCCAACTTCCAAATTGGGAGGCGAATTCCAGATACTGACCAGCTTCTAGGTGAAAACAATTTTCCACATGCCTCCTCTAAACCTTCTACCAACCATCTTAAATCACCTCAGGACTGAAGAAGGGTAACACCCAAAACATTGACTGGTCCTTTCCTCCAGATTCTGCCTGGCTTGCTGTGTTCTTCCAGCCTCCTGTTTGTCATTTTTACCCTGTCAGACCTACCTAATGCTAGAATCTCAGCAGCTCTTTCACATGTTTCCCTTTCAAACACTGTGTTGAATTTGACCTACATTAATTATGATGGCAATAGGATAAGTGTAGATGTGGCCCGCCTCTCTGTCTACATCTCTCCTCTCAATCCTCCTTTCCTCAACCTTTCACCTCCTGTCCCACTTGTTCTGGGATATTGAACATTCCAACATTGACCAAGGTCCCTGTTACATTGTTGCTCCCACTGCATGCCGGTTACAGTATAAACAAAAACGCAGGAAGGCACCTAAAAAGTGCACACAATCGCAACAAGATTTGGCCCAATCAGCTGCCTTCCTGAAATTCACCTCCTTAACCCAACAGCTCAAGTGTGGAATACTTATTCTGCGAAGTGTGGTTGGCAGGAGAGACCTGACAGTTCCTTCAACAACACTCTCTCAGATAAAAGAACTTGCATACTCCCAAATAACCGGAAATGGTCTGTGTGGTTATTCATTATTAAACATTTACATTGCCTTATTTCAATGTCTGAAAAATCAATATTTTTCATTGTATTGTTCCAAAATACAACAAAAACAACAGATGGTAATTTTAAATATATTACTTCTTCTACTTCTGCATCACAAACAAAAAACAAAATCATGACAGGCTGTCTCCAACTGACATATGATTAAATAATAAAGGGGAAAAGTACATAGCTGAATTTACTAACTGACGCATAATTGACTTTAAGATGCAAATGAGGGGAAAGTTTTGATTTTTGGTATGTACATTGGTAAGGATGCATCTCATATGCATACCAGCATCTAGATGTGTGCAAAATCAAAATCTTCCCCTCCAGCTCTAACCTACACCACTCGCATCAACCTTAAGGTGTACCTCCAACCAAATGTGAGGCTGTGGGAGCTCAACAAACGATCTGCTATCCAATCTTAACATTCTTCCTGCTTTGGCTCCCTTAAAGCCATTTTCTTCAGCCTTCCAACCCGTGAGCATTACTGGCTAGGCCAGTATTTATTGCCCATCCCTAATCGCCCTGGAGAAGGTGGTGGTGAGCTGCCTTCTTGAGCCACTGCAGTCCGTGTGCTGTAGGTAGACCTGCAATGCCCTTAGGGAGAGAATTCCAGGATTTTGACCTACCGTCAGTGATGGAACGGTGACAAAATTTCCAAATCAGGTTGGTGATTGGGTGGTAGGGAAGGCAGATGGTAGTTTTCCCATGTATCTGCTGCCCTTGTCCTGCTAGACACAGTAGTCATTTTGAGGAGCCTTGGCGAGTTATGACAGTGCATCTTGTAGATGTGACATACTGCTGTGAGTGGAGAAGGGACTGAACTTAAAAGTTGGTAGACAGGGACTCATCATGCTGGCTTTGTCCTGGATGATGTTGTGCTTAAGAGTTGGTGCAGCTGTGATCATCCAAACATCCTACAAGCTTTAACAAGTTCCATTTCACCCAAAGACTTTGTAGCCCACAATCTCAGCCACTCAAAGACCTCCATTTTCTGCAAAACCACTCGTTTCCTGTGATCCTATTTTGAAATTCTAATGCATGCCCTCAAGTCTCGCCATGGATATTGCCATCCTATAGTGAAGATTGCCACCTACGTTACTCCCTGGATATAGCCTGATGCTCTTCAAAATGTACTGCCAAGGCAATATATTGCCAAGGTGCAGCATTCCAGAGGCACAGCAGTGCAGAGGTGCACCTTGGAGGCAACATCTTAAACAAATGCCCCTTCTGTCTTCTCTAATGACCATGAAGAATCCGCTGGAATACAGCACTATCAGAGGCTCAGTCTTTCTGACTGGTTGCTAAAATGAGATCCTGACTGCCCTCTCAAAAAGATCCCATTTCATTATTTTGAAGATGAATTGGATGTGTGATTTCCTATATTTTTCCCTTGGCCAATATTAGTAAACTAGATTACCTTCTCATTATCACAGTCTAAATATGAAAACTTACTGTGTGTAAACTCGCTGCTGCATTTCCCCTCATATTGACAGCATTACAGGATTACTTATTGGCTGTAAAGTGCCTTGGGATCTCCCAAAGTTATGAAATATGCAAGTTTTTCCTTCAAGCAAAAAATGCAGAGATCTTGAAACCACTGTGGGCAAGACACTAAGCTCGAGCCTCCAATTCTGCCCAGACTGTGGTAATGACAGTCTGCCTTGATGCTGCCTCAAAGGATCTTAGCGGAAATGAATTTGAGCAATAAAATTTTAGTGTAGGTTATCGTAGGTCCCAGTAGGCATGAGCTTGTAATTGCTCTCAAGAAAATTACAGAGACAAGAGTAGGTCAATCAGCCCCTCGAGCCTGCTCCACTATTCAACAAGATCATGACTGATCTGTGGCATAACTCTAAATGTCTGCTTTGGACCCATATCCCTTCAAGCTCTTGCTTAATAAGAATTTGTCTATTTGTCTAAATTCAACAATTGAATTAGCATTGACTGCTGTTGAGGAAGAGAGTTCCAAAACTCCACTACTCTTTGTGTGTAGAAATACTTTCTAACATCTCTCCTGAATGGCCTGGCCCTAATTCTTAGTCTGTGCCCTGGTTCTCAAATGTTCAACCCAGTGAAAATAGTTTATCTTTATCCACCCTGTCTTTCCCTGTTAATATCCTAAAGACCTCAAATAGATAACCCCCTAACCTTCTAAATTCTAGAGAATAATGGTCTAATTTGACTAATCTCTCCTCATAACTTAACTCCTTAAGCCCAAGTATCATCCTTGTAAGCCTGTAGGGAATTCTGTCCAGGGCCAAAGCATCCATCCTAAGGTGTGGTGCCCAGATCTGTTCACAGTACTGGGTCTAACTAGGGTTTTGTATAACGACAGCATAACATCTGCATTCTTATACTCCAGTTCTTTAGCTATGAAAGCCAGCATTCCTTTAGACTTCTTAACTACTTTCTGCATCTGAACCCCCAAATTTCATTGGACATCCACTGTATTTAACTTTGTGCCTTCAAAAAAATACCTTGATTTATCATTTTCAGGCTGAAATGGATAACTTCATACTTGTTTATATTAAAATACAGCTTTGCCAATTCACCTGTTCTATCAATACTCTGTTGTACTTTTATGTTGTCAGCAACACTGTCTACAATGCAGCCCAATTTTGTGTGGTCAGCAAATCTGGATATTTGAATTTTTATGCCATTGTCTAAGTCTTTAGTGAATATTGTGAATAATTGTGATCCCAACACAGATCCTTGTGTGTCAGCACTAGTC